ACCAACAATTGCCAGGTATAACTCTGCCATTTGGTTTGATTGTCAAACATACTAAAAAGAAAAAGCATCTTTCTCCACAAGAGTAACTTAATCTCTAAAATTTTGACAAGTTGTACCACTAATATAATTTGATTTTGTCAGTATGTTCTGCTTGGTGACATAGTGCCAACATTTTGGCCTGAAGGTTGCTCTAAATTACATTAATTGCCACTGACCTAGTGGCTGGGAATCAGCAGGGCTTAAAGGAGGCCCAAGCCATGCCCTGTTGGGTGTGGCTTAATCCCTTCACCAGCTGTAGGGATAAGGTGTAGGAACTGTTATGCTACTGAAAGATACTTCACAATTGGGGTGATCCTCTGGCTGTCTACACCAGTTCTAGGACTAGAATCTGCTGGCAAGGCATTGCAAAATGGCTGCACTCCAACCCAAGATTTGGATTAAGATGTTGAGTAAATTCAAAAAATTCCTTTCTTTGCAGATTGCTCGCTAAGGCTGTACGGCTCCTCCTGTAGCAGATTTGGTTTCAAAACTTCTGATGTAAACATTGATGTCCAGTTTCCAGCCAATGTAAGTGAGCACATTTTTATTATAGATGTAAAATTGGCTTTAATTGACTTTTATAGTAACATTTAAGCAAGTAATAACAAAGGTGCCAAGTGGTAATGGGATTTTTATTTACAAAAATGTATCGATCCAAGGGGAGCTATCGTTAACTGTATCTTAACTAAAATCATTTTAATCCATTGTTAAAGTAGTAGTAGTCGTGGTATTACTCTGTGCTAATAGCATCTTCAGTCCAAGGGACTCAAAGCACTTCACAAACACTAATGAGTTAAACCTCACCTCCCAGCAACCCTGTGAGGCAGATCAGGATATTTATACCCATTTTACATATGGGGAAACTGAGCGATAGATGTTGTGACTTGCCTTAGGTGTCACAGTGATCCTGCGCCAACCACAAGATCCTCCTCTATCTTTTCAATATGAAAGTATTAAAAATCCATCATTAAAAACTACATTTTTCAAAATTTTCAGTAGTTTAAATAATAAACTTCTGTTGTTTTGATTCCATTTCACAGATGGCTCAACCAGATGTTCTCTTACTTGTACAAGAAAGTCTGAAGAATAGTGGTAAGAAATACTTGTTCACTGCTTTCAGTTTCATTTCATAATCACCCCTTGCCATTATCACAATAGTCTTTCACTGAATGCAAAACTTTTATTAAATAGATGCATCAAATCAAATGCTTACTTCATTTTTCCAGACTAATGTAAGTCTGTCTCCATATATAGTTTCATTCTTCTTATACACTAGTAAATTGTCAGGGTACAAGAGTAAAGGTATTAAGCTTATATAATTGGAGGAGGGAGCATTTTGTACATTGAATTCCAAAATGTCTTCACAGCTAAGGAAAACAGTTGGAGTTTTTATGTTGCTATATTTACTTAGTCAGTGATCTTGCAGAGACTTAGGCACCTGCTTAATTTCATGCACTGTGTAGTCTCATTTACTTCACATGCTTAAGTCCTTGCAGGTGCCTTGGATAGAATTATATGGTGGTAGCCTAAAATTCTGTGTACCACAACACTCTAAGGTGTAACATTCTATAATAATCCCCAAGCTCTTTCTGTGAGCACTGCTGATGGTATCACAGAAACAGAGGTTGATTGTAATATTCCTCTGCTAGCCCATAATGTAGTGCAAATCTCCCTAGGGTAAAGTGTGCTCCTTTACATACCTTAGAGTCTCTCATCAACAGAAGCTGGTCCAATAAAAGATATTACCTCACCTACCTTGTCTCTGGGACTGACACGGCTACAACAACACTACATGTGGATCACTCCATCAGCTACTGGCAACACAAACTTTCCCCTCCAGGCCTCCACAGGCCCCACTCACTCTTTCCAGGTTAGTGATAGGCACACTCCAACACCCGAGTCCTCCAAGCATGCCTGCAGTGTCCAGTCCCTAAACCACTGGACACTCACACAATTACCAGACCTGCTGTTCCCAAAGGGACAGTACACCACAGCTTCCCAGTTACTCCTTAGACCACAGCTCAGCTTAACACACAACACTTATACTTGTTTTCACTATGAACAAATCTAAGTTTACTTAACAAAAAAAGAGCCAGGGCCTAAACTTAACTAATACATTTTTCCTGTCTCATAAAGGTTGTCTCATCCAAAAAATCTTTGTCCCAGCTTTTAGCAGCAAGGTTGGCTGTGACCCTCTGTTCATAAGAGATGCATGCTGTCAGCTTGTCTCCTAGGTGAAGGATGCAGTTTGTATCTCTACAGTTACAGTACAAAAATCCATTGTCTTAACTCGTGAACAGGATTCCCCTCCTCTCCTCCCATTCGTAGTTTTTTCCTCTGTGCTCCTTTCTTGTCGGTTTCTACAATCTCATGGGTAGCCTGGCGTGTCTGACGATAAACATCGTTACTGACATATGTCCCAACAGTTGTAGGCATTTTTCTGGCAGATGTTTGTGGACTGTCTGTCACTGTTGATATTAAGTTGATGAGTGTTGATGAGGTAGGGTTTCTGTAGCTGTTGAATTGATCGGAGACCAGCTCCGATTAATTCCAGTTTCTGGACAGATATCAGTGTTGACTTTTTGTGTGTTTATTTGTAATCATAAAAAAGGGTTATCGTACTCTGTGTGGCATTTATTGCTTCATGTTGTGTTGGTGCCTTTATGAGGCAGTCATTCAGATATGGAAATATCATGACTCCATGTCTGCAGAGGTGAGCTGCCACCACTGCTAAAACTTTGGAGAAAGGCCTTGGGACGGTCAATAAGCTGAAGCATAGTACTTTGTATTGGAAGTGTTGTTTTCCTAGTGTGAACCTTAGGAATCTTCTGTGTGATGGATGGATGGTAACATGGAAATACGTGTCCTGTAGATTGAGGGCCGAGAGCCAGTCCCCCTTTTCTAATGCTAGAATTTTAGTTGTTAGTGTCACCATTTTGAAACATTGGGTTTTACAAATTTGTTGAGTTTTCTTAAGTCCAGGATGGGCCTCCACCCGCCCGTCTTTTTCTGTGTTAGAAAATAGTGTGAGTAAAACCCTTTGCCTCTGTGCTGTGTGGGTACGGATGCCACTGCACCTAGGTGTATAATGTGGTGCAGCAGGTACTTGTGAGAGGGGTCCCTAAAGAGGGATGGGGAGGTGGGATGGAGATAAAAGGGATGAAATAACCAGTTTGGATAATTTCCAAAACCCCTTTGTCTGCACTGATGGTGCGCCAGACTTGGTAAAACAGTGACAAGCTATATCCAAATGGTCAGGAAATAGTTCCAGCATTAGAATGAGTGATTGTCTCGTGCCCTCGACCACACTTCCAAGAGTGCTGTCTCAAGGTGGATTGTTGGGACATCGAAGGTTGATTCTGGTTTTGTCGACGTCTGGTCTGCTTTGCTTGTGGCATTGATCAAACTGCCTGTGCGGTTGTGTGTACGTTGGCAATGGGAATCTCTGTGTATAATATCTGACCTGTTTCTTTTTATTTGCAGGTGTATAGATGCCCAGGGATTTTAATGTTGCCCTAGAGTCCTTCAGAGAATGAAGGGACTTGTCAGTTTTGGCCGCAAATAGTTTTGGGCCTTCAAAGGGCAGGTCCTCGACTGTTGACTGCACCTCTCTCGGGAACCCCAAGAGATGGAGCCTTGATGCACGTTGCACGATGGCTGATGTTGCAATGGAGCATGCTGCTGTTTCCGCAGAGTCAAGTGAGCCCTGCAATGCTGTCCTAGCAATGAGATGGCCTTCGGCAATGTTGGCTTTAAATTGTTCTTTTTTTGTCTTCTGGTAAGCTGCCAATGAATTCTGACATTCTCAAAATATTTGTGTGTATTTTGACAGTTGGGCTTCATAATTAGCTATGCGAAACTGCAGTGCTGCAGATGACTATGCCTTGTGACCAAAGAGGTCTAACCTCTTCATTCTCTGTCATACGGGGTTGTTCTAGTATGGTGTTGCTTTCCCCTTTGGTGTGTGTTAACAAGAACTACACTCCTTTAGATGGCACATAGGATAAGAAATACTATCTTTTGCATGATGGGGGTGATGTTGCTTGTGTCTGCCAGATGGTTTTGGCAGGCTCCATCATAGCATCCTTAATCAGCAACACTATCTTTGCTGAGGTAGATGTCTGAAGTATATCCAGTAGTTTGTGCTGCGATTCAAGTACCTCTTCTAGGAATATGTCCAGGGACTGCCACCCTTTTGAAGTGTTCCTGGAATTGCTTGAAGTCATCCACTGTGGTATGGGGTGGGGGCATTATAGTTTCATCTGGTGATGAAGATGACAGGTTCGCTGGTGGTAAGGCTTCTTGGTCTGAGGTTTCCTCAGTTTCTTCAGTCACATCCTCCTGCGCTTCTGAGGATCCTGATATAGGTGATGATAGAGATTGTGGTGCTCTCGAACTTGGTGGGCTGCGGGGCTTGCGATGTTGTGCCCTGTATACTGCCCACGGGTCCCAGTAGGACCAATTTGGTGGGAATGACATGGGAGGTGGGAATTGGTGTGGTACTATGAATGCCAGTACCAATGTCAGCATTGCTGGCGGTATGGGAGTGTGAGTAGTAGCCACCGGTGCTGTGGATCTTGTGTTGTGCTGTGTAGGTACCACAGGTGGTGCCATTGTGCCGCTCAGTGCCGAGTGTCTTTTTGGCTCTCTGGGTACTGAGGCAGAGGCGGCCCGTCCATATAAACGAACTAGGCGGTCGCCTAGGGTGCCAAGTTAAATGGGGCACCAAATTCGAGGGAAAAAATAAAATGAAAAAAAAAGAAAGATGAAAAAAAAATACAAATAAAATAACGAAGATGTCATTATTTCAATTCCCGTGTGCATACGGAGGGAATATGAATTATAATTAATTTCTCTACATTTCTGAGAATTTATTAATATATCAAATCTTTTATTTACTGCAAAAATAATATTTTAGCAAAAAAAAAATTCAATTTGTGACGTAGGGTCAAGATGACCACTCCGCAATTTTGCTAAGCAATAACTCAGCCACAATGAAACACATCCGCCAGTGGCAAGAGCTGCAATGCTAGTGACACCTAACTCAAATATACATCAAGGTCGCGTAGCCGGAAATTCATTTACAGCGGAGATATCGTGAGTTGATATATGTCAAGCGGTCATTTTAACACATGTCGCAGGTAGATGGTTAAGAATCGAGCGAATACTGTGGAAAATTGTGGTGTTTTGGTGCCAAAGAATAAAGAATAACGTCTTACTCACATTTTGGATTTATAATGCTGAATCTTTAGCGTTATTAAACCTTAGCGTTATCGGGCTGTATAATTATGAACTTTTCTTTGTTATAACTGGTTCACATATAGTAAATAAGGTCTATAAAAGAAAAGTAACAGCATTAACGCTTAATAAACTACAAAAGTGATGACGCCACACTCCAAGCAGGTAACCGTGAGGAAGGGGATTACTTTCCAGACAACCGGTATCGGGTTATAATGTCGAAAAAGGTCATTTTGTTTCTGTGTAAACGCTGTAATTAACTGTTTTAATAGGTAAGTGAGTGTATGTTACTAATCACTGAACTTTTAAGCAGTGAAAAGACGTGTTGGGATGGCTGCAATGTGGTTTAATTCGCCAACCATGTGGTGAGTGTGTCAGCTATCCTTAACGCTATAATGCTTGCAGTCGGGAGCACAGTACATAACAATATTCAAATGCCCCATGGCAGAAAGAGGAAAAAGAAAATCCTCAGGAGCTGAGTATCGTAAATAAAAGGCTGAGAAGGAAAAGTACCAAGCAAAACAGCAGGGATCCTTCCTGAAATATCTTCTCTTTAATCCAAATAAAGATGGAAGCAGTTCACAGCATCCAGATGAAGGAATTTTACTTGGAGAGGAGGTTAGCTCACATCCGCATGGAAACAGTTTGGAACATCAAGATGAAGGTATATTACTTCGAGATGAGGGGTAGCTCATATCCACAAAAAAGCAGTTTGGAAACTCAAGTTGATGGAAACTTACTTCTAGATGAAGGCAGCTCACAGCATCAGACTGATATGGAAGTGGAGGCAATTTATTCACCTTCAGAGACACATGCAGAAATTGAAGTAAATGAAGAAAGGATGAGGAAGTTACAAACAAGTTACAGTATGGGGACCCAGCTTCATGGCCCAGATGTGATAACAGTGTGCAGCAAATTCTCGTGGAACATGAACCTGAACAAGTTCATGAATTTCCCTTCCCTAAGGAAGGAAATAAAAGAAAATTCTCTGCTCAGCATTACAAGAGGAAACTCATTAATGGGGAAGAAATTCATTGAAACTGGTTACAATATTCAGAGTCGAAGGACTCTGTTTTGCTTTTGCTGCAAGTTGTTTAGAAATCAAGCAATTGGTACATCACTTACTGAAAATGGTTCGAAGGACTGGAAAAACATATCTTCAATTTTCTCTTCACATGAAAAGTACAGAACATTTGGAATGTTTTCAAAATTGGAAAGAACTTGAATTACGATTGAAAAAAGGAAACTATCAGAAAATTTGTGTGATTTAAGGAAAAAGAAGAATATTGGCAACAAATATTAGAGCATCTGATTGCTTTAGTGAGAGTTCTCAGTGGGCAAAATTTAGCATTCCATGGTCACGGTAGAAATGAAAAATTATACACGCCAGGTAATGTTGAATACCTAGCTTTGTTTGATCCAGTCATGAAGAAGCATCTACGTAAAATAACTGATCATGAAACACAGGTTCATTACTTAGGAAAAAATATGCAGAATGAACTGATTCAAATCTTAGCAAATGCCATTAAAAAGAAAATTGTAGAAGCTGCCCATTCTGCAAAATGCTTTTCAATAATACTGGACTGTACACCAGATGTGAGTCATGCTGAACAAATGACGATGATCATTTGTTTTGTGGATATAGAAAAGTCTGCAGATGAAGATAATGTTGAAGTGCTCATAAAGGAACCTTTTTGGGGTTTCATACCACTGAAGGAGACGACTGGAGCATTTATGACTGAAACTATTCTTCAGGAGCTTGAAACAATGTCATTATCTGTTGAAAACTTACGTGGCCAAGGCTATGATAATAGGAGTAATATGAAGGGTAAAGACAATAGTGTGCAAAGGAGAATGATGGAAATCAATCCTAGGGCCTTTTTCATTCCTTGCAGTGCGCACACTATGAATTTGGTTGTCAATGATGCTGCTAAATGCCGTTTGGAGGCAAGCAGTTTCTTTGACCTGGTGCAACGTGTTTGTGTTTTTCTCAGGTTCAACATGCCGAGATTCTGACTCACCATGTGAAACCACTTAGTCAGACAAGACGGGCGGGTCGCATTGATGCTTTGAAGCCTCTTCGCTATGAACTTGGAAACATTTATGATGCCCTAATTGAAATTTCTGATGATACTACCTTTACTGGATCATCTGGCAATACAGCACCTTCAGATGCAGAAGCTCTTGCAAATGGCCTTTCCAAGTTCAAATTTGTGACTTCACTCATTTTGTGGTATACTGTAATATCCTTTTCAAGATTAACCTCACTAGTAAGCAGCTTCAGGAAAAGAACTTGAACATACATTCTGCTATTCAAAAACTGCAGCAAACTAAAACTATTCCAGAAGAATTCAGAAGTGATGAAGGGTTCGAAAGAACACTGGTAGATTCTCTCAAGCTTGCTGAAGAAATAGACTTTCCAACAGAATTTGAACCAAAGCCAGTTCGCATTCAGCAAAAGAAACAGCAGTTTTCGTGTGAAGGACTAGACACACCCATTCAGAACCCAAAACAAAGGCTCAAAGTGAATTTCTACTTCGCAGTCCTTGATACTGCTATTCACTAGGTTGATGAAAGATTTCAACAGATGCAGCAGCTAGTCAGTATTTGGCTTTCTATATGATATTTACAGCTTGCAAAAGGAAACAGCAAAACAGATAAGAGATTTTTGTATAAAACTGGAGTCAGCATTGACTCATGAAAATTCAAAAGACATTGATGCTACAGATTTGTGTAGTGAGCTTCAGGCTTTTTCAAGACGACTTAAGAAGCATTTGACTCCTAAAGAAGTACTGAAGTTTGTTTGTGAAAATAAACTCACAGTTTTCCAAAGATTTTTATAGCTCTACTCATTCTTTTAACTTTGCCAGTTTCCGTAGCTAGTGGGGAACGTAGCTTCTCAAAGTTAAAATTGATAAAAACATATCTGCATTCAACAATGGTGCAAGAGAGACTTGTTGGACTTGCCACAATGTCAATAGAGCATGAAATAGCTGGAAAACTGGATCTAAAAGAACTAGTGACTGAATTTTCAAAACTTAAAGCAAGAAAAGTCATGTTTTAAGAGCACAGAGTGTTTTTTATTCGGAGTGTTTTGTAAATACAGGTTAAAGTTCATTGAAGAGTTTTCTTATTTCTTTCTCTATTGGATGTGGTGGTAATGGCAGTTAAAGCAGGATAGTGTCATGGATGATTTTGGATTTGTAATAATAAACTAACATTTTTAATGCATTTTTATTTGAAATTGGACTGAAATATCATCTAGTTGTGTACAAATCTATTCTGAAAATTTCATGTCTCTATTTTATCTTATGTCAGAAACATTGGTTGGACAGATGGACGCACAAACCGAATAATTAAGCCTCTTTTTTTTTTTTAACATTAAAAGGGGAAAAATGTTTCCCAGTTTACCAAAAACCTCAGCCTAGATCTGCCTTTGGGGTTGGGGGTGCCGATTGCATGGTTCGCCTAGGGTGCCAGTTGCTGGCAGCTAGTCTAGGGCCAC